CCCCTGCACTATTTGTATATACACCTGGTGGAACTGTAATAAATACTAACTGTGCCTCTGAGTCCTACGTGTGAGTCCTCAAACGAACCGTGACAAGCAGATATTCTTAGTATCGTCACCTTTCCACTCCGATTAAGTTGTCTTAATCGGAGTGGAAAGCGAGCTAAAATTGGTTGTTTCAGATGTGCACAAAGGTCCAGTGTAATATAATTACGTTTTTTTTTTAAATGAAGGTTATATAAAAAAGCATCAGTAACAACAGTTTAGGACATGCAACCCTGGAACTTGAACACCCACAAAACAGACTAAGAGCAGATGACAAACCCTGGCAAGAAGTCCAGGGACGCACAAATGGCAAAGCCTAATAAGAGCTGAATGTGCCACTCGTGTGGGGGAAAAAAATAATGCCCTAAGATGTGCCAGGCGAACGGGAAATTCTTCTCAATGAGTCACTTTCCACTTTTCCAGACAGAGCCTACTCAGAATAACTAGTGAGCCGCAGATCGATGCAGCACTCAATGGAAGGACAGCCAGCTCTTTTCAGGAGATATCTGAATAGATGGCCCATTTAGACCTTCCAAGGATCTCACTGGAGATCTGTCCACCTCATTCTGTGCCCTTCTCCAACTCTCCAGTCCCTGCTAGGCTCCATATAAATGTTGCTCATTTTGCTCAGGAGGACACTTACTTAATGGGCTTTTAAAAAGATGTCTAGATACAAAAATTGAAGGATTTTATTTATGTGAGTGTTTTTAGCCCTTTGTTGAATGCATTATAGTATCCTTCAGAAAGTGTAAAATGAACCAAATGACCAGAATCAATAGAAAATATAAAAAATAATGCCCTTTTCTGGAGACTGCCTTGAGGCAAGCACAACAGAGAAGAATATGAAAAATAAAAAGGGAATGTTCAAACAAGCACAAGCTTTTTGTTACAAATAATAAGAAAAATTTAAAGATTTAAAGATGGGTTCCCTGCAGTATTAACGCACTTCTATCGTGCGTAGATGAAACAATATGCAGAAATGTAAAAAACAAACTGTCACTATGAAAAATAACAGTAACAGAATACTGAGAGCAATAACACCAGTAAACAACACACGACACATTGCTTTTAGCAATCGCAGTCGCAGCCATACAGATGTTTGCTGAGTTAACTTCGACACAACTCACCTCACCTCT